AAAAAAAAAAAAAAAACATTCCTTAAAGTTTGTATGGAACCACAAAAGATTCCAATAGCCAAAGTAATCTCTTTTTTTTTGAGACAGGGTTTTGCTGTGTTGCCTAGGGCTAGAATACAGCAGCATCATCATAACTCATTCCAACCTCAAACTCCTGGGCTCAAGCAATCCTTTTTCCTCAGCCTCCTGAGTAGCTGTAATGTGCTGGGCTATAGGCATGCACTAGTATGCCCAGACAATCTTCTTTCTTTTCTTTTCTCTTTCTCTTTCTTTCTCTTTTTTCCTTTCCCCCACCCCCACCCTCCCTCCCTCCCTTCCTCCCTTCCTTCTTTTCTTTTCTTTCTTTTGAGACAGATTCTTATTTTATTGCTCAATCTGGTCTTAAACTCCTGGCCTCAAGCGATACTCCCACCTCAGCCTCCCAAAGTGCTAGTATCACAGGCATGAGCCATTGAGTCCATCCTTCTCTCCATTTTTTTAAGAGAGGGTGTCACTATGTTGTCTGGACTAGAGTTCAGTGGCATCATCATAGCTCATTGCAACCTCAAACTCCTGGGCTCAAGTGATCCTTGAGTAGCTGGGACTGTAGTTCCTTGAGGCAAGTCATTATGTGCTGGACTTACTGCTGAGTTTTAGGAACTGCAGAGATGAAAGACTAAATCTTCAAGCAGAGAACACAGTTTATGATCTTTCATGGATTCTCAAACTTGCTTAAGGAACCTTAAGACATTTCATCCACCAACCAGACTGGCATATCCAAATGCCGGCAGGAAACCTGATGTACTTTTAGGTGAGATAGTCTCAATAAAACTATGTCCAGGGATCCTCTTTGTCTAGAATTGAAAGGCAAATGGCCTTTACTACTTTTCTCATTAAATATTAGATTAGGCAGAAGGGAAACTGGAGTGTAGAAATAAGGAAGAGGGTAAACAAGATGAGGTATTTGGATGGGGAACGTGGATAGACAGACTGCACTATTAAGGAGAACAAAGAGAGATGGGTGGTTAAGGTACAAAGATGAATTGCTTGGATCTTCACATGAAGTGAATAATACATGGATTGATTTTATGGAATTATATTAACATTATACATGTATAAGATACTGAAAATGGTGAGGCTTTATTTAGAAAAGTACAGGCATCTGTAGAAAGTTAAGCTATAATAAATAACATGTAGACAATAGAGACAGAGATAATGAGATAGGTCCACAACACATCTGTCCTGTAATCTGTTGTTCACAGTAGGACTTTTGGTAAATATATGTAGAATGTTACAAATAACACTAACCATGTCCCAAGAGCTTGGAGCTGTCAGAAACATGCCACCTTGGTTTTACTGTGGATTAGTACTCCTCATATTCACCTGGCCAGGAGATAGAAAAGTGTGTGGAGATGAAAAGGCAATGAATAATGAAGATGTTTCCTCTCAGCCAACTTCTCTTCCTTTCCTCAGCAGCCTTCTTAGTGCCCCTTTCACTTCTTTGTTCCTTAGAGTGTAAATGAGAGGATTCACCATGGGCGTGACCACAGAGTAGAAGAGGGAAATGAATTTGCCTTGGTCCTGGTTGCTTTTCTTAGCCGGAAGCAGATACCCATAGATAGCTGAGCCATAGAAGAGGAACACTACCAGCAGATGGGAGAGGCATGTGTTAAATGCCTTTTGCCGTCCCTCAGCAGAGCAGATCTTCAGCACTGCTTGAGTAATATAGCAGTAGGAGAGCAGGATGATACTTAGTGGGACTGCAGTGAAGAAGGTACAGACACCACTAAGCACAGCCTCATTGAGACTCGTGTCTCCACAAGCAAGCTTGATCATGGCAGGCACCTCACAGAGGAAGCTGTCCACCCTTTGGTGCCCACACAATGGGAGCTGCAGAGTGAATGTTGACTGGATCACAGAATTGCCCAAGCCACCCAACCAAGCAGTAGCAGCCAGAAGCCAGCAGAGCCGAGGATTCATAATGGTCCTGTAGTGCAGGGGCCGGCAAATTGCGACATAACGGTCAAATGCCATCACCACAAGCAGGATGCACTCAGTAGCCCCTAACCAAAGGAATACATAGAGTTGTGTCACACAGCCACCATAGCTAATAGTCTTTTCTGGTCCCCATAAATTGGTTAACATTTGGGGGACTGAGCTAGTAGTAAAGGCAAGGTCCAGGGAGGAGAGGTTACTGAGGAAGAAGTACATGGGTGTGTGGAGCCGGGCATCTAGGCGGGAGAGCAAGATGATGGTCGAGTTCCCAATTAGGGTCAGCAAGTAAGAGAAGAGGATGGCTATGAAAAAGCTCATCTCCAGCTGTGGATGGTCAGATACACCTATCAGAATGAAGCCCTCTGAGGCACTGCTGTTGGCCCATTCCATCACTGGTTGCCTTCAGTCATTGAAAGAATCTGTTCAGAGCAAACTGCTGGGAGAAAAGCAAGTAAATAACAAGCTATTGGGGGTGTATCTGTATCAGGAAAGGTCTGCTAGTTCTCCAGGCTCCATAGTTAAGTACCACGTTAGTTTTTCTGACTGCAATCTTTTATTGTAATCTCAAACTGCTGTCAGTTACACAATAGGTGGAAAACTTTATTCCATTAGAACGCCAAACAGAAGCTAACATGGAAGTGAAGGAAGTGCATTATGAAGACAGAACAAAAAAATTAGATCTCTTCAGAACAATGGTCACAACAGAATAGAAAGAGTTGACCATTAGATTTATATATAAAAGTCTCTAAATACAAATTTCTCCAGCCAAAGTTTTGATATGCTCAGAAAAGGCAGAAGTAGATATACTGTATTTGGAAATGCTCCTTAGAAGCTTCTGATAAATTTCCTCCCCTTTCTTCTACATCTTTCTCCTCTCAGGTAAAAACATCCTATAAAGAAAGATGAAGTTTGAGGGAAAATATTATGAGTCTATAAGATCATGGAAAGAAAGGCAAGAGTGAATATACATAGAAGATACGAGTATGTGATTCACAAAATGGTAACTGGAGAATGAACAAAACTTTACATAAGCTCAAATCAGTTTACATGGAAAAGGCTAAAGATATAAACAGAGGTTATCACAAAAGTGCTTTTGTGTTCATAATTATTAAGGGAAACTAGAAGATTTCAGAGAAGAGCCCTGCTCTTTTGACATATATTACCACTATGTCCATCTCTAAGCCATGGAATAATTCTTAACAGACAAAAAAAAATTTTTTTAGAGAAAGAGTCTCACTTTGTCACCCTCAGTAGAGTGCCAGGGCATCACAGCTCACAGCAACCTCCAGCTCTTGGGATTAAGCGATTGTCTCAGCCTCTCGAGTAGCTGGAACTACAGGCACCTGCCACAATGCCCGGCTATTTTTTTGTTGCAGTTTGGCCGGGGCCAGATTCAAACCTGCAACCCTCAGTATATGGGGCTGGTGCCCTACTCACTGTGCCACAGGCGCTGCCCTAGACAAAAAAAAATTTTTTAAAGTAGCTCTTGTTAATAATGGGCCAATTGTTATTACTTTTCCTTGGCCAGAATTTAGACCTTTCTGAAGATCATAAACCAAGGTCCTTCCTCTTTTTTGACTAAAAAAATGCATAAATTTGAGAAGAAGACATATATATTTCTTAGGTCATCTGTTCTTATTTAGACACTGAAGATTAGGAAGGAATGCTGCCACTCCCTCTGGATCATGATGTGTCCCATAGAAATCCCAGCTACTGCCCAAAGAGCAGGCTAATGGAAGATTCTTCTCAAGAGAGGTGTTTAGGTATGTTTAGTGGGTTCTGGTATACTAGGCAGGGACCACTTGGCCATACCTCTTGGCTAAAGACCCCAAGAACTATTCTTTTCATAAATATAAAGCAAAAATATTGGAGATCCCAACACTAAAATTCACACAGGAATCAAGAAGAGAAATTTCTTCTAATTGTTTCTATTATCATTATTATCATCACCACTACTACTACCACCAAGAAGTCAGGGCATAATTGTGTTTTTTTAGGTCATCAGTAGGGTTCCTCTACTAAATCAGGGTGGAGATAAGGATTTCAGAGGATGTTTCAACCCTCTTTCTTACCCTAATCTTATGCTTGAAGAAGAGGTGGTTATTTACTGTTTTCATTTAGGATTTAAGGGAGATGAGGAACTGAGTCACCAGCGTGATAATCAGCTCATCTTTCTGTTCAGGAATTCTTCCTGATACCATTTACTATCTGCTGAAAGTTCAAGTGCATGTTCTCTGTGTCCCTTTAGGAGAAAGAAGACAGACAGATACTGGTTGTCTTTAGTGAGTTGTTTGATCTGCGGGGGGCTGGTGGTTTGTGGTTGCTCAGTGGTGCTAGAATTCCTTTCAGGCCCTTCTCTGTGCCTACTGAACATTTTTTTAGCCTAGAAATAAACCAACCAAAAATGGAAAAAGAGAGGTTATTCCTAGAGTGGGAAGCTGTTGACCCCAGAAGCTCAGATGCAGGGGAAAATATTTCACCCGCTAGATCTTTGGCTTGAGCTTAAAAAACTCCTGAAACCAATGCGACCGTAACTTCAAACGTTCTGGTACTCGGTAACTGCTGTTCTTCAGGGGTTTTTCCTCCATTAAAGGGGCTCTCCCTTTGGTTCCTAGTTCTTTTACAATCTGGGAGTGTTACATTAATCCAGAAGTGCTTGTACTTCAAGAAAAACCTAAAGAGAGCAAGACTGAATTCTCAGTCTTAGAAAGGGTATTCCATGTATAGAGCAATTTAGGCAGGGAAGCACCACAGTGGAGGACCATCTGGGGACAGAGGATTCTAGGAATCACTCATATGATGCATAAATGGCTCTTGCCTCTGCCCACCGGTAAATTTTGTTTGAATCTTCAGGATGTTGAGAGAAGCATCTGAGATTTGCTTTATTTATTTATTTATTTATTTTGAGACAGGGTCTTGCTCTGTCCCCTTGGGTAGAGTGCATCATTATAGCCCACTGCAATCTCAAACTCCTAGGTTAAAGCCATCCTCCCACCGTGGCCTCTTAGAGAGCTAGGATTATAGACATGAGCCACTGCCAAGACTTGCTTCTTAAAGAGAATCCTAGGTATTGTAATTGCTCACCTTTGCCCAGCTTCCTGCCCATTTTGCCCCATAAATTTTAACAACTCTTAATTGACCTCTTGTGGATTAGCCACAACAAATCTGTCTTTTGGAGCGGGCATTCTTCTATTATGAAGATTATTCCTAGACTATTGGCACTCCCTCTGTATGGGTGCATAGTCTCAGAACTTGAGCCTTGCTCAATATACTCAAAAAAAAAGGGAATCATCAAAAACATAAACACACACACACACACACACACACACACACATAATCTTGCATTCTTGTCCTAGTACAGAAGTTTTAAAGTATGTGGTATATTTTATTTTAAAATATTTCATATGAGGGGAGGTGGTTGACAGTGATATCTCTAATAACTTAGTTTATGTGTGACTATCTTGAATATAATGTCTAAGTTAATACTTCCTTGGGGACTTAGTCAGAATTGGAGATAATGGTTAATTGTGGCAGTATGGTAGGCAAAACCCACAAAGAAAATAGAAGATTGCTGTCTAGAAGGATGAAGTCTGAGTTAGAATATAATCAAAACTTCTTCAATCAGAAAGGTTTAAGGTATTAAACAAAATGAAAAGGGATTTCCCCCACTCCCACCTCAAATCTTAAAATTCAAGAATTATCCTAAGAGGTCAATTCAGGACCAATAAAAGAAAAAAATTACATAGTTAACTTATGGAAATTATTCACCCCAAGAGATATCACAGTTTAAAAATATTAAAATTTAAGAAACATGATTTTAAGTGCATTATTAAGGTAATCTATGCTGTTTGGAGGGGACTCTTAACTTGTGTCGTTTGCACCGAAGTAAACAACCAAGCTGTCTTAAGATATGTTTTTTGACTCAGTGCCTGTGGCTCAAGTGGCTACGGCGCCAGCCACATACACGTAAGGTGGCGGGTTCAAATCTAGCCCGGGCCTGCTAAACAATGATGGCTGCAATCAAAAAATGGCCAGGAATTGTGGTGGATGCCTGTGGTCCCAGCTACTTGGGAGGCAGAGGCAGGAGACTTGCTTGAGCCCAGAAGTTGGAGGTTGCTGTGGGCTGTGATGCCATGGCACTCTACCCTGGGGGACAGCTTGAGGCTCTGTCTCAAAAAAAAAAAAAAGATATGTTTTTTACCAGGTACAGTGGGCCATGCCTGTAATCCTAGCACTTTGGGAGGCTGAGATGGGAAGATCATTTGAGTCCATGATTTTGCGACTAGCCTGAGCAAGAGCAAGAGCAAGATTCCATCTCTCCAAAAACCAGAAAAATCAGCCAAGCATGTAGGCATGTGCCTGTTGTCTGGTGCCTGTTTTCCCAGGTACTTGGGAGGCTAAGACCAGAGAATCACGTGAGCTGAAGAGTCGGAGGCTGTAGTGAGCTATGATGATGCCACTGCACTCTAGCCTGGGTGACAGACCAAAACCCTCTCTCAGGAAAAAAAAAAAAAGGTTTTCTGATTCTACTGTTGGAGAAAGAATCCTTACTGAATGGACCATGAGCCAGACCCAGTGGCAGTATTAACGACTATAAAATAGAAAAAAAAAAAGACCAAATAAATAGTAGTATATCAATTAAGTACAAAAATTCAACATTACAGAATGGAAAGGCTAGATAAGCATAAGTGTCCCAGGAGAAGCTCTCAAGTTTATATCTCTCTGCAAGCTGTAGAAACTTGCAATGGGTGTCCCCAAAGAGAAAAAAATGACAAAGGGGTGCTCTTTGTACCAGCCAAGAAGCAAACTTTCTGCTGTGTGCTGCTCTAGCAATTCCTTATGAGAAAATCTTACCTGATTTTTCCTGGCATTTAAAAAGAGATGTGAAGAACACAAGATTTTAGAGAAGATCTTGGGAGCAGGAGAAAACAATTCCTATGAAGAGTGGCCAAGACCTTAGATTTATTTAAAAAGAAGGGTTAAAGAGAGGATTTTTCCTCCTTCCAATTAATGTCTTCACTATTATCATGGGACTTTAAAGATTTGTGCTTGCTGAACAGGTGCTGTCCTTGTCTATGACAAGCAAAAATTTAAAAAGGCTTGTATTAAAAGCAGGAAGGATTATGATTCAGCATGATAAAATATTGAGAAATTCCTCAGCAAGAGAAAAAGAAGGTGTGCTTAGAGATAGGTACCGACTATACTCTTTTATGATCCTTTTTTGCTTAGAGATTCTGTGCCCAGGACCGAATGGTACGTGCAAAGTGCTTTTGTTTTGTTTCGTTTTGTTTGTTTGAGGTTATGAATTTCTGACCTTCTCTCTTGAACCATTCTAGAAATTTTTGTTAAAGGGCTGTTAAAATTGCTGTTTTAAAACTTCCCTTAATAGATGGGCACACACGGGCATGAAGAGATGTAAAGGTCATTAGAATTC